ACATCTCTGTAGCTTTCCCAGGACAAGGATTGATGAATAACCCATGTAAGCTTTTTGTTTTACAAATGGAGCAAGTGAGGGAAAATCAGAAGCCCGGGCTGGAATTCAGGCATCCTGACTCCAGGTGCCAGGTCAGTGGCTTCCCCGTGGGACACTGGCACAGTTCATACCCGTCTCAGTGGTGTCTCATTAAATCCCATTCCCCAAAGGAGTGAATAGCACCATTAGGGCTCCCCCAACTCACCGGAACAGGCTTGGCAGGTTATGCTTCTTCCTGCCTGCGAATGGCTTAGAAGTCCAAGGTCAGGACTACAGTGCCATTGACAGTAGCCTTCACCCCTCCCCTGCAGAGCCGAGTTGTGTGCCTCAGTGTCCCCGCCCTTCCTGAGATAGCAGGATTCCTGGAGCATCCTGCGCATGCTCCTTATCCCACCCCACCCCAGTCGGCAAGGCAGACACCTTTAATTTTTGAATCCTGGTGTCAGCAGTTCTCCTTGGGGAAGCCTCCCATGCCCCAGCATGTGTGCCTTCTGCCCTCTTGGTTGGGCTAAGCCGACTGCTTCCTTTATGTATTTGACTCTTCCATGACCAAGAGCCCTCTGAGAACCTTATTCAGTAGCCCAAGAACCATCTGCAGTACTGACAGAAGTAAGTACATTTTATTTCCTTGAATTCAATCTATTTAACCTATCTCATAACTTCTGAATGTAATGTAATCATGAATAAAGGTTTGAAATACATGATTTTAAAACTAGTTCAGTTTTTAAAATTCTGTAATCCAGAGAACAGAGAATTACACTGTTTCTATCTTGTCAAAAACTGTGCTTCCTTTAATATACAGTATTAACAGAAGAATTATTGACTATTAAGTTGCTGCCATCTTCCCGGAAGTGACCATAAAAATATTCATTGTTGAAAAATATCCTGAAAACTGTAAAGACAAAAATTAAAGTTGTTGTAATCTCACCACACATCTTTGAATTGGTTGAATAATGCTCATACAACTGAGTAAACTTTTGGATTAAAACTTCATCTTTATCAAGTAGCATATAGAATCTAGAACTTATTTGAAAAAGGGCACCCTCTGGTAACTATTTTCTGTAAGAGATAGCAAGTCATCTTGCTTTGGATGCTCAATGCATTTCTGGTTTTTGAATAATACAACTTTTGGATTGGAAGTAAGTGGGTCTAAGAAGGTCCATACTCCTTTTTCTATTTATTGTAGAGTTCCCTTCCTTATCAGCTGTGTGTAATACCCTCACCTTGAACACTCTGTAACATTAGTGTTTTTTTTCTTTTTATTGAGTTTATTGGTACATTTTAGGTATACAGTACAGTTACATTCATTATTGGGATCTTGTACCTTTACATGACAGGTCTTGGTTCTCACTTTTTCCCCTTGCCCCTGCCCTCCCTTCACCCCCTCCTCCCCTCCCCATTTACAAATACTTTATTTCCATTTTTTCATTTTCTCATATTTTTTTCTTTTCCCTTATTCCCTTTCCCCTACCCTTCCCACTTTCCCTACGCCTTTAGCCTTTTTTCTTCCTATTTCACATTGTAACATTAGTGTTAACATCATTTTGAATCTCCACCATATGGATGAGTTTAAAGGCCAGGTTATTGCCTCAGTTGATGGTCTTCACAAGCCGGTTATTTTGTAGATCTTTATACATTCTATGTGTCTGTTTTTCTTTTATGGATGTTCATCTTGTTTTTAGTAAAGTGAAAACCTGTCAGTGGTCAGACTTCAATTTAAAACTTGAAGGACACTTTGGTGAAGTTGGTACCGTGGGTCTCACATTACAAAGAGTTTGCCGAGCCCTTGGTACTGTAAGCTGTTCCTCACCAGGTGCTCCTGTTCCAACAGCTGCAACCACTGATGATGAAAAAGAAAAAAGAAAAAAACCTTTGGGCATTTTCCTGAAGCATTTTGATGCCTCAGAGTAAGTGGGAATGCGTAGGTGTGTGTATCACTAGAGTCCTTGCATGTAATTGCACTCATAAGTCACATAAGACAATTCATAACAATTTGGTCCAGCATTTTAATTTTGTCTGTTAAATTATTCATGTGCATACTTTTGTAAGTTGAGCCATGAATATTTGATTGGTGGTAAATTCATAATCGTAAACTATCCCTTTGATGTTTTTCCTTTGTGTTCAATTGACATATATGGGAGGGTAGAGAAAATTTAGTCTTCTTAATATGAGACACACCTTTCCTAGCAGACTTATTGAAACTGTCAGGCAAACATTTACTGTGAGTAGAGGTTAACGTACACCTGTTCTGATAGTGTAATAAGTGCTCTAATAATAATTTTCATTATCTGGGAGGAAAACACTCTAAATCTGCATTTTACAGTGAGGGAGACAGCATTTAGAGAGGTTCCATGGTTTTCCAGAAGTGACACAGTGTGTGGGTGACTGAGCTTGGATTCACTTCTGGATCAGGGTACATTGAATTCCCCACCATCACTGCCTCAGTGAGCAAGGTCGGCAGCACCAGCCAAGTTCTCTGTCTGTGTTTCCGCACCCTCCATAACCAGGGCAGACTTGTTGCGTGGAATCCCAGCATGCTCTTTCCTGTTATGTGGGCAGTTGTGCATGGACAGCCTTCACCAGCCATTCCTAGATGGAAAGGTGCATAGCTCGGCAGGCTGCTGAGTGTGGACAGCTAGGTGGAAATGCCAGATTCGTTATGTGGATGCTGACTTGTGGATTGCACTTTTTGGTAGGTGATTACTATAAAAGGGGAGTGGAATCTCAAGACCTACCAGAGATATTTGAGTTCCTCTTGAACCTAAGTGCAGTAAACCATTCTACTCCGAAAGGAGGGAAAATCTTGCTGAGTTAAAAGCCAGTGAAGACATCAAGCAATTATGTCAATAATTATTTAGAAATCCAGGAAATGGACAGCCTCAAAACAACTCAATTGCTCGAGTTAGATAGCTTCCCTAATTATCCTGTTAGATTTGCATATACCAAACCACAGATTGGTGTTAGCCAGAATTATAACCCCATAAAATTATCAAGAGGAGTATATAAGCATGAACAAAAGGGTCACATCGAGCTTTGTATTATACTTTTTGAGCACTACACGCTCTCTGTGGTTGGATTCAATGACTGTCTTGGGAGAGTTGTGTGAGTCTCCACGGTTCATGCATGCAGTTGGTGGTTGCAGAGCCCAGCTGAACATTGGAGCCCCCTGGCAAGCTGAGCTCATTTTTCTCTCTGAGTCTTTCATGATTCAGATTTTATTTTTATAGCTGAGCCTGGAAATCAAAATCCCCACCTCATTCCCCTTCCCCGTACTAGAGATTGAACTCAGAACCTTGCACTTGTGAGGCAGGCGCGGCATCATTGAGCTAAATCCCCAGCCCTGGAAATCAGAATTTTAGCACCATTTCTGGGTGCATTTGGTGTATGGCTTGGCTTACAAAGCGCTCCTGGGAAGTCTGTCTCTGTACAGCACAGGGTGACCGCATTGTGCTCCTCGAGTCCACTCGGGGCACTGAGGCCTGGTGGGTTGCCTTCCACCGTCTGTTTGCCTCATCTCCCACCACTGCTGCCATAAAAGCCGCCTTCTGCCTTCCCGGGGCCAGTTTGCTTCCTGTCTGAGCTGCTTTCTCCCTCCTGCTGGACCTGAAGGGCTCTTCCATTGCCTCCGCAGCAGTAGCTCTGTCTGCTTTCTCCCTCTCACTTCCAGCATCCTTGAGGGGCTCACTCCTCGGTACTAGAGTCTGCACCCCTCCGTTACAACCCTTGACCCTGTGTTGGGTTATTTCTTTATGTTTTCAGCTCAGTTCCTCTGTAACACATTTTTGAGGAGGGAAACCCAAACAGCCTAGTGCCTGCTCCCTCCGGGACCTGCAGTCCATCTTTTCGATGCACGAAGCAGTGAAGCCCACATCTGTATTTCATCCAGCTGTACCTCTGCAGCCCCCGTCCCCACACTTACAAACTGCTCCCCTTCCCGAATGGCTCCGTTGTCTTGGAAAGAGCAGTACTGCAGCTCTTGTCTCTTCTAGTAACTGCATTCACTTTGGTATCTGTGAGCGTGATAATCCGTGCAGTGTGGCTGTTCCTCCCTAAGACCACCTTTCTCATAAAGTACTTGGTATGGGATTCTGTGCGGGGTTTCAGAGGGAGATGCTTAGGGAAAGCTGCTGAGATCTCTCACGGATCAGGCTGGTCCATGCCTTGGGGACAGGCTGGGTCTGCCTCGCTTTTTTGTTGGCATCTCCTCCTCAATGACCACGTGGGAATGGTTCCCCTAAACCAAGGCAGGTGTATAGAGTTTTTGTGGAGTCCTCAGACCATCAGCAGAGCACAACACATGATGTTCCTTAGAATTTGATTTGCCGACTTCCATGATGCCAGGATTGTTCTTGGAGTTTCTGGGTCCTGCAGAACAGGAGGGAGGGCCTGCAGGCTTGCTGAGGTCCCTAGGGCACAGGGGTGGCTGGGCTGGAGCGGGGTCCTGAGCTGAGCGCCCCCCTCCCCGCCTTGGCTGAGCCAGGAAAAGGGGCAGGAGCAGCTGCCGCAGGCTGACCCACAGGCAGTAGGTGTCATGGCTTCCCTGAGACCTGACTTGTTCATATGCAGGGACTTTCTCAGGAAAGACCTTGGGTTGAAAGCCAAGAGGGAGAAGGGGGAAGATCTAAGCCAGGCAGCAGCCCTCCTGCACTCGCATACCCTAGCCACCCCGGTCAGAGGTCAGAGAACCTCCTGCGGCTGTTTGAAGCATCTGAGTCCACACCAGGCGTCAGGCTTTGTTCCAGTCACTGAAAGTGAACATGTCCCTCTCTTCTGGTTCCTTTGTCCCTCTGCCCCCAAGAGCAAGATCAGAGTGTGGTCCTTTAGGTATAGAAGTGAGCGTGCGTGCATGGTCTTCTGAAAGGGTCGCCTACAGGAAGAGCATCAATAGAGCCAGGTCATGCTGTGAGCCGAGTCCACCCGCAGCCACGGAGACTCACTCAGGGACCTCTCTGCCCCTGCAGGTGGCCCTTCCTTGGGGACCTCACCTCAACAAGCCCTGCCTGCCTCTGTCCATGGCTGCCAGCTGCTCCTGGAGCAGATGGCCGCACTGCTGAGAAAGAGATTGCTCCGCACTCGCAGAGCCTGGAAGAACACAGCCTGTGACCTGCTGCTGCCCATACTGTTTGTGGCCCTGGCTATGGGCTTGTTCATGGTGCGGCCTCTGGCCACCGACTACCCTCCCCTCCAAATGACACCAGGCCACCACGGGAGGGCGGAGACATACTTTTTCAGGTAAGAAATGTGTTCGCCCTTTTGTTTCAAGATACATCAGATGGCTTATGAATAGCATTTTGGACTGAATGTGTTTCCCCTAAACCTATAGGTGAAAATCAGATCTCCAGTGTGGAGCTGCCTTAGGAGGGGCCTTGGGAGCTGGCTAGGTCGGGAGGTGGATCCTTTCGTATGGGATTTGTCTGCTACTAGAGACCAGGAAGCTAGCTGCAGTACTTTCCCAGCCGTGGAGATACTATTGAAAGGAGCAATCCTCAGAGAAATTAAATTTAATATGCTTTTTTTTTTAAACAAACAAAGCAAAGCAGAAACAACTCATGAACGGGCAGCTCCCAGAGCCAAGCAGTTTCTGAGAACTCAGGCAACAATGTGAGCAGAAACTCTGTCTAGAAAATCAGATGCGAGGCATAGAAGACAACTTCACTGTCTGTAGCTCTGTAGATGAAGCAGTCAGTTGTTTACAGCCTGGGCAATCAGCTGGAGCTCTCCTGTGACCACCAGGACCTGTTATGGTGGTTTGGTTTGGTATCTTGAGCCCAGGACAGGGCCCGGCTCCAACCCTGGCAGTGCATAGATTTTCTTAACCACACCATATGTTCCAACTTCCAACCTCCAGGACCATGTGACACGAACTGCTGTTGTTCAGAAGTCTCCCAGTCTGCGATCCTTTGTTAGAGCAGCCTGAATGAAGGCCAACAGCAAGGATTTCAGATCACAGGTTTCTAACATGCAGGTGTGGGCTGGGGTGACAGTGTGGCAGCCGTTTTTGCCTCACCTGTGAGAACACTGGCTTTGGTTCCTGACACTGGGACTGATATGGATGCTTTCATGATTTCTGAGGTCAGAATTTAGAGTAATGTATTTCAAGAAGCCTCTGCTGATTTTAGGCTGCCTCATAGCAAGTGTGTAGGACAGGGGCATCCAGTCCCCTGACCCCTGTGTGACCGGCTCCTCCCCAGGACAGCCCAGAGTCCTTGGAGAGCAGGGACTTGAGCCCCAGCACACGCTGCCTTCCAGGCCCTTAGCAGGATGTAGGAGGCCCAGGTATATTCCAGAACTGTTAGTGTTTCAGCAAAGTATATAAATAGTGTTTTCCCCCCCCCCCCCCCCAGTCATTGATAACTGTGGCCTCAGTTTGGCTGGCTTTACTCCAGATCCAGCTGTAGCTTCTTTCTCACAGCCTGTTCTCTGGAGAACTAATTCAATTCTGTAAGATCAGCATTAATCTCTTCTGAGAGTGAAGCCCCAGGGACCTCCTTGCCTTAGACTAAGACCCATGTTTTAAAGCTTTCACCACCTCAGCACTGCCACCCAGGGGCCGGATGTCCAATTTAGGCAGTTCAGGGAATCATGCTCAAACCGTTTCCAAACTAGAGCAATATACAGAAAACCCAATTCTGTCACATTCAAGTTGCATGAAAGATGGAGGTGTATCTTACAAATGCTACGAAATGGGTAGATATTTTGTTGCAGAGGTTGTGCCTGTGTTGCAGGGGGCACCATTTGGGGGTGTCAGGGAAGGTTTTTCTAAAACGTGATACCTGTGAGAATCTTCAGAGGTCAATATGTATTTCCCAGGAATATAGGAGAGAGTTTCTTCTAGAGGTTACACATGAGTAACGAGGGCCATCCAGGGAGCCTCAGTGCTTTCCGGCAGATGCTATGAAGCAGTCTAAGTAGAAGAATCTTTTTTCTGCAAACTGAGTGAAGAGAGACATTAAAAAGTTTTAAACTCTGGGGCGTAATTTAATTGGGATTATTCTCCCAGCTTCCAGGCATGAAGTCTGGTTTGGAGCATTCCTCCACATTCTCTTTTTCTTATAGGCAACTATGATGTGTAAGATTTTCTTCCTTATCCTGGGCGAGGAGAATTCTTTCCTGTTTTTCTTTTTTTTTTTTTCTGTAGCAAACCTACAGACTTCATTCTTTGCTGGGTTCAAGCCAATTTTCTATTCTTGATTCAGTCATGTCTTTACATCTATTTCCTCTTACCTCTTTTTAGAACACCATTTAAAAAAAATCTCGTGTTAAGATCTCCAGACCCACCTTTCAAGTTCTTTATCTTGTTTTAATGATTTCTTTGTCTTTCCTTTTGTCTTTCTCTTTGTGATATTTCTCCCATGTCACTTTTTGTATCTAAATGGTGACCACCCTCTTAATTCACATATTTAGCTACTGTCTTCAGGAACTCATCCTTCCTGGGTTTAGAAAGTCCTGTGCAGGTGTATGAGTCTCAGTTACAGTCTCTGAACTCTGTTAGTGTTTTTGTTGTTAAGTTGTGCATTCATCTAATGATGATATTTTTAGCAAGCATCTACGCTGAGTTTTCCTAGAGCATCCAGTGGTGGTTGCTTATGTTACACTGTCAGATCAGATGAGGATGTTGTTGTGGACAGGAGGCAGCTCTTAGAGCTGAAGCCTAAGCACACACTACCCTTTTGAGCCACAGTTGGCTTCCAGTGCTTTCCCCCTTTCCCCCAGGCATCTGCAAAATCTTTCTGCTTTCCATTCCCTCCCTGATTTAGGAACAGGAAAATATCGGCTCTTCCAGTGGATAAGAGGTGGCGAGGTAACATCACTGGAGATTGCAGGTCTCTGAAGGCCACCCTTCCCAAGATAGATACTTTCAGGTCTTTGTCCCTGGGTGCTGCACTCCAGGAGTCAGCTTGTGGTCACAGTGATGATGGGCCTGAACAAACTCTGCCTGTGACATTTCCCCAAGAGTTTAAGATGGTGATAGTGATGGTGAACCTTTTAGAGCTCTCAATAGTGCAAGCAGCTCACTGTAGCCTAGGTGCTGTAGGTTCACCACTACTGGCCTAAGAGTTCTCTAGAAGTAGGTGTTTAGCAAGATCAGAGCTAGCTGAGTCAGAAGTCATAGAGAGTTTAGAGCTGGGAGTGGAGGGGAAGAGAAAGAAAGCAGAGGCTGCTGTTTTTGCAGAAGCTCCAGTGTTTGGCAAGGTTGGTTTAATCCCATATATAGTGGAATCACTGGGGGCTCCTGTTACACAGGGTGGCCCTATAGGATGATGTTTTGGAACACACCAAGCTCCCTGGTTACTCTAATGCATATCAAATGTTGAGAAATAATGAGTGGGAAAGAGAAAATAACCCTGTTTATAAACTTCCTTAGGGATCATGACTAAGTAGTAATTTTCAGTTCCTAGAGTTTGATAAGGACAAACATCAGATGCTCCAAACATGTGATTTATCTTCAAGCCAAGAGCTTGAAGGCAACCAAAGAAGGAGAGAGTTTAGGAGTAAATATTTGAAATCTATGACAAATGAGATGCTTTAGAACCAATTTTTATTACTTTTTAAAGCAATGACCTGTAGACCTAACCCTTCAGAAATGATAATGAAAAAGTAAAGCATAATTTTAAAATTTGTTCTTAGTATTGCAAATAAACTACCTTACGGATCAATTAAAATATTTTTAAGTTTTGTATTAGTTTTTGGATTAATGGGTCATAGGAAAGTGATCTAGGCTGTTTCTCTAGAGAGGCCACAAAGTGACATTTTCCTCTTATACAAGCCACACTTGAATAGAAAGTGAGTGATTTTCTTGCAGATTTGCTCCTTGTTTAAGCATAAATTTCCTGTGTACTTACTTACATGGAACCAGCACAGTTGTCAGTTCAGCCCCTTTCATCATTGTTCATTTCTGGCCACAGCTGTAGGGCATCATATTGGGTTATAAACTGCCCTTATATTTAAAGGGCTTTGTTTTATACAGTGGTATTTTCCTATACATACTTAATTCATTCTGGCCTAGATGCATTTGTAGTCTAAATTTTCACAGTTAATGCTCAGAAAACACTGTTCTCAGCAGAAATAAAATCCAATCCTGGTACATTGAGTTTCCATTTCTTTGCCATGAACTCTTGTTTATATTTGAATAGGAAAAGCTCAGGGAAGGCCATATTCAGGGAACTAAAATAATTGGACAAGCATGAAGGATCAGCTCAACCATTTCAATGCATTAGTAGTATTTCACAATTTGACAGATATTTTGGAGAACCTACTGAAGTCCAACTACTGCCCTAAAAGTCACATCCTTTCTCTTCAAGATTGTTTTGTTCCAGGAATGAGATGAAGGAGAAAGCCGGAATTAAAAAGCAGTGCAGATGTACCTGAGATCCAGTGTAGAAGAGGAGAAGGAGGGGGAAGAGGAGGGGAAAGAGGGTGAGGAGGAAGAAGAGGAGGAGGAGGAAGAGGCAGGAGCAGGCATCTGGCAGGAGCAACATCCAGGCCAAAGCTCACAGGTGGGATTTGGTGCTCAGTCCTGCATCCCAGAGGCAGGAGTAGAGACTTGGAGGGGCCCACACTTTGAGGGCAGGGCCACCTTCTCAGCAAGTGATGAGATGGACAGGGTTGATGCCACTTTTTGTGGGCTGGGGGGTCCTATAAAGATGTCTATGTCTGAAGATAGTGGGAAGTTTTATCCACACAAACACATATGTACATACATATATGTAAATACACACAGATATGTAAGATATGTGTATATATAATTTTATTTTTCACTTTGTGACAGGATCTCCAAAACCAGTAAATTGTCTAGGCTGAGCTTCAGTTTGTAATCTTCCTGCCTTAGCCTCTCAGGTCTGGAATTACAGGCCTGCATCATCATGCTGAACTTTATTTTTGCTTAACATATGTTAACTTTACGTATTAACGGGATTTGGTGTGACATTTCAATGTACGTTTTCAGTGTGCATTCATCAAATCTGTTCTCTTTTTGTCCAACCTTTTCCCCACAGTCTTTCCAACCTCAAGTAATCACTGTTCAATGCATAGGTTGACTTTGCACCTTCTACATATGACAGCAAACATGCTGTACTTTTCTTTCTGCATCTGACTTATTTCCCTTAACAAAATATCCTCCTGTTGCACCCATTTTGTTGCAGATGACTATATTTCATTTTTCTCTGGGGCTTAATATTCCTTTATCCATCCATTTATGGGCACTCATTGGATTGCTTATCTTAGTTCTTGTGAATGAAGCCAGCCAGAATCAGTACAGGAGCCAGATATTGCTTGGACTGACTGCATTTCCCATGGATCCATACCCAGAGGTGGGAGAACTGGTCAGATGATAAATTTTTAGCAGAGAAAGTGTCAGATTGGTATGTTACAGAGCTCATCGGGAAAATGATAATCTACCACTTGTATTGGTCTCTGCAAAAATAAGGACATTTTTCTTCCCCTGGCCCTGCACTTGTGCTGCAGAATGTGGGGTGCAGGGATCCCACACAGCTCAGACCCCCCCATGTTTGATTGTTAACAGCAGTATGGAAAGATAGGAGTCAGCCTTCCATTCCCCCATAAAAAGCAAATCAGATAAAAAGATCAGCGGTTGAATATTACTTTGAAGTTGCTTACATTTCTTAAAAGAGGGGAATATTGTAAGTTCTTTACAAGAAAACACTTACATATGTTGCTTAATTTGCATACTAGCTCCTTCCAAAAAGATTTGGGGACACCATTTATATGCAAATCATTGGTAAGGTTAATTATACATCATTCTTCTTTATGTCTGGGATAAGTGTTCCTAACAGTGTGCCCTCAACAATACTTGTAAACGGCATGACACAAGTTCTAGAAAGTAGTCAATTTATATTGTTTTAGAAGCATTGCAATTCAGAAATTTCATTGACTGAAATGAGCCCCTTTAATGCACAGTTCAGTTTTGAGGTTTTAAATATCTTTCCTTCTAATTTTTCTCAACCCAAGATCTTTCTTATAATAATGTGTGAAATTGAATATAGTGTTTGTTTCTAAATCATCTCTGCAGCTACACAAATATCTTACCGCTTATAGTCTCTTCAGTAAAATCTTTCAGGCTTGGCGACCCGGGAGTTAGTGATTCTCCTTGAGCTACTAATAGACTTCTGAGACTTATGCTAGCAGGATACAAACTATAACTCAGAGCACATCAACACACAGGAGTCCACAATGAAGGCTTTTATTAGGTAAATGCAGCTGAGATACAGAGAGCAAAAGATAGAAGACGATTCTTCATCGCAGGGATGAATTTTTTTATTTTTTATTATTTTTTTGGGGGGTACTGGGGATGGAACTTAGGACCTTGCACTTCAAAGCAGGCGGTGGAACCAGTGAGCCAAATCCCCAGCTCCAATTACAGGGATGCTTAACAGGACTAATATCAGACCAAAGCAGAGCTCCAAAATTTAGGGAATAGTTTTGTTAATTTTAATACATCAACGAAATATAATAGTATATAGCCTTTAAAATTTGTTGTAAATCCATGCCATAAGTGAAAAGGTGGTTATGTTACAAAATTAAGTGAAAAGATGAGACAAATGATATACTGTGAACGTGAACATATGAAAATGCATGTTTGTGGTGACAACACTGCTCTGAAGGGGTTTCTCAATTTTGTACTTGCTCATGTGGCTTTGCCATAGAAGCAGTGGGAAATTTGCTTCATCTAAGCAACTAGTGGATCCAGCAAGCGGTCGGATTGGCCTGACAGGGACATGCTGTGAGGTCCGACTCAGGTCCTGGTCTTCTGTGGGGAATGCTAACCTTTCTATTTTATTTCCTTTACACAAGCAGCAGTGGGACTGATGACATGGACCTCACCCATGTGCTCTTGCGGAAGTTTGGAGATCAGGATCCTCCCTGTGCTGATCCGAACTCAGATCTGTAAGTAGCAGGTACCCTTGCAGAAGTGAAGACTCCAAACAGTGGCACTGTGGGCTGGGAGGGCAGTTCCCTCTGAGATGGGTTAGCTCATGTTGCAAACTTAGATTCCATGAAATGAATGTTAGCCTGACAAGTGGGTTTTACTGAATAGGTCTACTGGTATCATCATATAAAATGACCTGAAATAAGCTGTCAAATTGCCCCTTTCCCCCTTTCACAGACACATGTTGTATATTATTGCAAAGAAAAAAAAAAAAGCATTCAGTTTGCTTCACAAAACCCAGAGCTAGCTGGTGCCTGCCTGTCATCCTGGCATTCTGGGAGGCTGAGGCAGGAAAATAAAAAATTTGAGTGTAGCTCAATGCAGTGACTGTCTCAAAGTGGAACATAAAAGAATCAGGATACAGCTCAGTGACAAAGCACTGGATTCCATTCCCCAGCCCAGCAGAAACAAAGACAAGCAGCCCTAGTGTTAAAAGGAACAAGTAGCAATCGAGTCTGAATTGTACATTAATTTCTTATCCATGTGTGAATAACAACTACAGTTCTTCTAAATTAAGAGACGTAAGAGGTCAGTACACACATAAGTAGTGAGAATGTGTGCTATTTGTCTTTCTGTGCCCGATTTATTTCACGCCACGTTTTTTTTATCAGTCCATCTATCGATGGTCATCCAGGTGGGCTCCACATCCCAGAAGCAGTCAGTGGGATAGGTACCCACGCTTTGGTGGGTGACAAGGATGGATGGAGAGATGGTGAGTGGATACAGGGTGCATTTGAACAGGAGGGATAACTTCTAGTGTTGTGGCTGACAATTATTTGAATATTTCCAAATACTTAGTGTAAAGTGTTTCATTTTTTTTCCAGCACACAAAAATGATACATACTTCAAATGTTGGATGTGGTCATTTTCCTGATCTGATTATTACACAATGTGCACATGCATTAAAATATCACAATGCACATGGCAAATAAACATGGTCATTAGGTGTCGGTTAAAGTTTTTAAAGCATTAAAAATAGGAAAGGTCAGTGAGTCAGCATGTGGTGAATAACTGTGAAGATGACCATCCTGGAATTTGAAAATGATAATGTAGAGATGATCTTTATATGAAACCCTGCTAGTGCATGCCTTTTAACATAGGTTTTTGCTCCTATTTCGATCAACTTTTATTTACTGAGGATCTACTCTAAGTGAAATTCTGCTGTAGGCATCGAGATTAATAAAATGTGTATGACCCAGTCTGAAGAAATTCGCAATTCTGGATAAAGCCAATGAGGCAAGTGATGAAAAGCCACAGTGATACATGGAATGATAGAAGTGTATTTTTTAAAGTAATAAATACAGAAATCCATACAAGGATGCAATATTAGAAATATGTTTCCTAATTTGTGGTGACATATTTTTCCCATTTGTCATGCTGGTAATTTGTTTGAGACTGAATAACTATTAATGTTCTCGGTATGGAAGAATTAATAGGTTATTAATTATGTAGCTTCCCTTTAGTCTTCTTTCGATAAACAAAGTAATTCATTTAACCGAGGGATCAGTGGTGATGATTTGATTTCCCTCCCCTTCTAATGAGACGTGGAGGATGCAAATCACATCAGTTTGAGGGGCTGAAATGGAACCTCGGACCTCCAGGGGCCCTCTTTGGCTCATTGTTGCATTAACAAAAGACCAGTTAGCAGAGGAAAAATATTTCTCTTATCTAGCGCCTCACAAGGAAGGACAAAAAGTGCAGTCTTGTGTCAAGGACAGCAGAACACTACTTGGGTCTATTTAAGTTTCATTACTCAAAGCACACAGCAGTGGCCCCGACTCCCTGCCTCCTGCTCTCCCCAGGTCTCTCTCCCTATGCCCAGCCTGATCACTATCCCGTGTGGGCTCCTGCCCTGTGTCCTGCGCTGTGAAACCCACACAGCCTGCCCTTCTTGTTTTGTCACTATTTGTACCCGTTTTCTTGGTCAGCATATTGATCACCTTCTCATCTCTGGGACAAAATACTTGGCACTTGAAACTTAAAGGAGAAGAGCTTTATTTTAGCTTACAATTTCAGAGGGTTCATTGCATGGTTGGCTGGCTCCAAAATAGAAGGGGAAGGATCTGGAGGAGGGAAGTTGCTCACCTCGTGGCAGTCAGGAAGTGGAAGGAGAGAAAGAAGAACGGAGTCAGGGACAAGAGCCCACCCTTCCAGGTCACCCCTCAAACCACCTCCAACCAAGCTCCACCTCCTGACAGCACCTTCAGCCATGAGCTCCTCAATGAACGAATCCACTGATGATCCAGTCCCACCTCTGAATCTGAGACCTTGGAGGGACATTCAAGATCCAGACTGAAATAGTGTAACAGAAGCCTGGGCCACTCGGCCGCTGCACGTAAGGATGCTGTGAGCACGTGGAATCATTTATGTCCCTAGTACACAAACAGGATCCTCACACGAGGGTCCCAGATCAAAGCCAAAGGATTTTCCTCAGCAAATTCTTCTCTCTTATTACAATTTGTTACTGAATTCAGTGACATCTACATTTTTATCTTCCCAGCAGACGTTAGCAGTCAGCTCAGAGTGAGCATTTTGAAGCATCAGACTGGATTCTGTCCGTGGGTCACTGCACTGTAGACACACTCAGCTCAGAGGCAGAGCCAGGGTTGCTGCCGGGGATTTTTGCCTATCTTTCATGTGGATGATGAGGAAGAACTCTAGGGAAACCAACTGTGGTGCAAATCTGGCTGAAATTAATTTTTCTCATAATAGGGGATGTTGCATAATCTGAGTCTTAGAATGTGTTAATGTTGCCCACTATGACAAGCACGTGAGTAGGTTTCCATGAGTCATTTGATCTTATGAGGCTCATTTGAGTGGCACTTCAGTGACGAATTCCCCCTATTGGTTCAGGGACAACATGGTCTCTCCGCACCTCCATCCTTGTCAGTGTTTTAAAACAGAACAAAGAGTAGTCTTTACGAGGTATTTTATTTCTGTTAAGCCTAAAAAGCCACTGGGGGAGATGTGTAAAGTTTATTTTATTCCTGGTGCCTGGGTTGATCTAGGGATCCTCAGCCTGGTGAATGCTAGGAGATGAAACCTTTGCAGTCTGCAGGGGTGCCGACAGGTGCCTGAAGGTGGGGAGCAAAGGTCCAACACAGAGCGGTCACCTCCGGCATCACACAGCAGAGTGGAGAATGCACCTCCAGAACCGGGGGGCCTCTGTTCAATCCCACCACCTTCCTCACTTGTGGTGTGACTGGCAGCATACTGGAGCATTCTCTGCCTGTGCAGGCATCTGTGTTTCCAGAGCAGCACTCCCCAGCAAGAGGGTGACCTCTGGATGTCATTTGGGTCCCTTCTGGAAAGTTTTCCTTGCAGAGAGCACCATTCTTAAGAGATGCACTCACAGCCTCTGCCTATCTGAAGATTTGCCAGGCACTATAGGCTGTCTGGGTCTTAGTCATTTCTTGTCCCTGAGACACAACAGCCAACACCCACAGTTTAAGGAAGGAGAGGTGTATTTTGGTTCAGTTTGTAGAGGTTTCAGCCCCTGGTCCCCTGCCTCCAAGACAGGGTGGGTGGCGCATGGGCATGGCAGAGGAGAGCTGCTCACCCACTGTATGGTTGCGGGGAAGCAAAGAGGGAGAGAAGGGAAAAATGGGGAAGAGATGAACCCTTCCAGGCCTCTTCCATCAGACTCCACCTTCTCACAGCAAGGCAACTACCAGTCCTGATCCTGTCTCCTCCCAAAAGCCCACCTATGAGCTTTGGCTAGAAACTACAGTGCACCTGGGAGACCTGTGTAGCCCAGCATTTCCAAATCCTGGGGCCCAAGTAACCTCGTTTGTGAAGTAACTGCTCTGGAACAGCCTCGTGGCTCATGTTTCCTGTGGACTGTGTCGGGGGTGCTCTGCTGAGTCGAAGCATGCTTTTAGGTTGTTCCTAGACTCAGGAGGGAAACGGGCACAAACCTCTAGCTCTTCACCTGTCCTCCCATCTGCCTGTCCCTCTTACAGACACATTCACAGCTTCATGGTGAGGCTTTGGACATAAAAAATGTCGGATGTGAAGAGTCACTCAGTACACGGGAACCAGTCCAACGCTGTCACGGCTCGTGACGCAAAAGCTCATGGCCGTGTACGTTCACTCTGCCAAGGGGAGCAGGGCCAGAATACCAAAGGTGTGGAATTGCAGAAGAACCTTCTGAAGCAGTGGCCTCACTTATACATGCTCACTGTGCTAGTCTGCGTTCTTTCTGCAGAAGCAGTAATCGGTACAGCAGAGCTCCCTGAGGCATCATTCCCACATTAGCTTCTAATCTCACACTCAAGTCTCCAGTGGAGGCGGACCAACCAAGGAAGTCAGACTTGGGGAAGGCTTTGAAATGTTTGATATTTCAGCCAGGGATTCAGCTCCATGGTTTTACCACCTGCTTCACAAGTGCAAGGACCCGAGTTCGACCCCGGGTACCAAAAAATAAAAACGTTTGATATTTCAGACAGTTCTGTGGGAAGTAGACTTTAATAACCCGGTTAAGGGAAATGGCCAGTTTCCTCTGCTGAGCCGCCCTTGTCCAAACTGGGGCAGTATGGGCAGTCTTGCCGTACCAGGACCATGAATGTGAGCTCGGAGCACAGCTGGCCCGGTCTCTGCTGCGTGGCCTTGGGCAGTTGCCAAGCCTCTCAGAACTCTGCTCCTCCTTCTGAAAGTCAGAGCAGGGGAGAGGGTTTAAGGTTGAGCCGGTGCCTACAATCCAGTAAAGGTTAGTTTGCTCTGTTCACTCCCAGTGTTTGGGTAATTAAGAATAATTACGATAATTCAAGTAAATTTTGATTTATTCATGTTGGGAAAAAAAATGGAAGTACAGAGCCCCCAAGGATAAACAGCTACAGGGAAGCTCTGTAATAGAAAAGGCTTTGACCCACGGCTGTACCACTTTCCTAACCTTTGATTTCATTGGCTTTCTTCAAAATGGAGCCATAAGCATTGTTTTTCTGCACATGATAATCAAGTGACTGTGTCAGCCATGGAAAGGTAGCTGGGCTCATCAGTGAATGGCTTCTTGGCGCCTGGTCATAAGCCATGGGCCTTGGGCCCCAGCAAGCCCAGGCCCCTCGGGAAACTCAGGAGCCTTGGTCACACTCAGCACAGGAAGCTGGGTGAGCATCCCATCCTGTAATGGAAACAGCAGCACTGAAATAAAACACTGTCGTCACATTAGCAGCTCACACTGCGGAGAAAACAAACGTCAGAGCTCTGCCTTCGCGGCAGTGGGAGGTGGTTGTCTTGTGAGCTGTGTTCTCCTATGCTGCAACCCGCTTTTATGGAAATGAAATAGCTTTGGGGTCCAGGTGGTCATTCCAGGTCTCTCTTTCATTCTTTAGGATGAAGTCTTCATGTTGGCGCAGGGATCCCTTTTCTCCCTCAGAGTTCCAGGATTCGTGTGGCTGCCTGGTGAGTTCTGCAGCAGTTTTGATCTTTTAAATAAAAGCTTTCAGAGAAAAAAATGGGTTTACTCCAACCATAAAGTCTTTTGTTTTTGTTTTCCAAGTTGCTATGACTTTTTGGTTCATTTGATTGGCTGCTGCCAGGGAATGTCTCCCCACCTCATCCCCCAAGTGAGCATTACTTATGCAGCGCTCTGCTCTGCTTGCCCGCTGCCCCCCGACTCCTGGCCTCCTGCACCTGCTCATCAGGTCCCCTTCAGGCCTTAGGCTGGTGAGCCAGCTTCCATTGATAGAAGCTGGAATTGTCCCATGGGGAGCTTTGCCTCATCCTTCAGGGCAGGATGACCTCTGGGCATTCATCAGATTTTTATTTGAGTTCTGAGAGCTGGATAATAAAAGCTGAGATCCCTAACTATGACTGATTCACTTGTTTTTTTTTTTTTTTTTTTTTTTTTTTTTTTTTTTGAGATAAGGTCACACTACATAGTTCAGGCTGGCCTTGAGCTCACTGTGTGGCCCAGGCTGGCCTTGAACTTGTAGTGACCCTCCTGCCTCAGCTTCCCACATTCAACTAATACTCCATTCTTGAGGTGAAGGACAACGCTGCCTGGTCTGTGGAGGAGAACACACCGAAATCAATGTGGAAAATGGATTGAAGCGCCTCTCAGGGGAGTTTCCAAAGCTAGTTAATAAAAGACACAGTCCTGTTTTCTACAGCCCATCCGCAGTGACAATTGTAATTTACCTAAAAAAAAAAAAAAAGGGAAAGAAAAAAATCTCAGTGGAGGATCTGTAAGGGACATGGCCGCATGGAGAACACGTCTGTGAACCTTTCTAGTTATGGCCCTGCGATGCTTTCCTCTTAATGAATTCTGCAGCAGGTTTGCTTTTGCAGAGCTTGGTCTGATTTCCTCTCCGAGAGCAAAGTTGGGGATGCAGGAGAGCTATCACCTGGAGCCCCCACCAAGAGCTGCAGGCCGAGGGGCTGCCGGCTTCCCGGGGTCCTCTTGGCGTGGGGCCTAATCGGCTCCACTATGCCTGAAGCTCCTTTGCTCTGACCAGCTGGCTTTTGCTCAAGACTTTTTTTTTTTTTTTTTTTTTTGACACAACTATTTGTTTTTCTCTGTTTTGCTTCTTCCGTGCACTCATAAGCCTGTAATGTTTCTCTGCATTTTTATTCTTCACCGTTGATTTAAGCATCCTATTATACGAGGAGCTTTTGTTTACCAGCTTCCAAAGTCTATTTTGATTAGATTGCGTGTCAGTGATTTAGGGATAAATGAGCAAATATCAAAATGCTTTATGTCTGTGTTCCTAAATCGCATCTAACTTACATGCACTGCAAGACTTCAGCAATATGTATGAAAGAATAAAAGGTTTCACGTGAAAAATTCTCTAGCCAAATACGATTTTGAAATGCTGGGTAAAGCAAAGGACTCAGCAGAATAAAAATAGGGTTTTAGAAAGACACATCTTGATGCAGTGGTCTGATGGGTTAGAGGGAGAAATGCCAGAAGCAGAGAAGATTTAAAGGTGGTTATGTTAATCCTAAACATGATACTTGGGGTTTGGTGGAATCATTTTTCTACCTGTCTGTTTTAACTGACAAGTAGAAATTGTATCTATGTGTTGTAGACTGTGAAGTTGTAATACATGCATAGATTTTAGAATGGCTAAATCCAAATTTGCCAGACAGAATGCATGGATTAAATAGCTGGAGGTAGCCTTAGGGCAGTGGGACTGGTTAATTGTCGATAGACTGGTGCTGAGATGATACTTGTAAGCTCCAAAGTTTACTCAGGTGACAGCCGAACAACATGACAATATTATTTTAAGCTTCATTTCCCTTTTCTTTCTTTCTTTCTTTCTTTCTTTCTTTCTTTCTTTCTTTCTTTCTTTCTTTCTTTCTTCTTTTTCTTTTCTTTTTTTAGTACTGCAGATCGAACTTGGGTCCTTGTGCTTGAGAGGTGGCAGGACCACCGAGCTAAATCCCTGGCCTAGGATACAATGTTTTCAAGTTGAGTCACCACGTGTCCCACACTAGCCCTCTAAATCTTATTTCCCCCATTTGACTGATGATTTGTGTACTTTGACCCACGTCTCTCCAATGCCCTGTCCTCACCACCACTGCCTCTGGCAACAACGATTTGACTCTGTTTATGTTTCCAGTTTGGCTTAACTCTAATTGACAGCAAGGGTTATTCTTTTGCACATCTTCCCCCAGGCCTGCCTAGCAGGGGTCTGAAAGTGACACCTTCAGCCTGAAGAACCTTTCTAAAACCTTTCCTAAACTCTTAAAAAATGTATTTCTAAATTAACAGCAAACCCATGCATTAGATCAGGTTGTTCTTATTTTTTTTTCAGCTTTAATTGAGTTTATTGGTACATTTTCGGGATACAGTACAGTTACATTCATTGTTGGGATCTTGTACCTCTACATGACAAGTCTTGGTTCTCATTTTTTCCCCTTGTCCCTGCCCTCCCTTCACCCCCTCCTCCCCTCCCCATCTACAACCACTTTATTTCCATCTTTTCATTATCTCACATTTTTTTCTTTTCCCTTTTCACCCTTCCCCTACCTGTCCCACCTTCCCTACACCTTTAGCTCCTTTCTTCCCATTTCTCAATGTCAGTAATCTCATTAGGATCTTCTGTATTATTGCAGGTTATTCACACCAGAGATTTTTTGCCTTTGCAGATGAGGACAGGCGCTTCCAGAGCTGGAAGGGAAGGCGCAGGGCCCGAGCATCTGTTTTCTGTACATTATCTTCTCCCTTATTCTGGCCCAAATGGCTTTGCACTCATCAGAGTCTGCACTGCTCTGTGATGTGCGTGCCCTCTGCAGGTTCCAGGGCTGACTGCGGCCTTCTCCCTTGCTTGGCACTCATTTCCTGTGTCAGACCCCAAGCTGCCACTGTCCTGAGCCATGGAGAGGGGCCGTGTAAGTTCCACTTTAGACATCTGTGAGAAGAACACATGCCTGGGAATGCTCTGCTTCCCTTCCTCCCCGTGGATGCCTCTGTCTCCCTGTCAGCTTTGTCAAACCCAAGATCACCCCAGTGAAAACATTTTTCCCTTTTTAGATCTTACAAATCTCCCCAAACTTACGCACAGTAAAGGATCTGAAGTCCTCAGATATAATTGACTGCCAGGGTCACTGTGGAATTCCTGCACCATCCTCAGATGTAGGAGGCTCTGGAAGAGATTTCAGAAATCAGAACACATAGTTTATTAAACATCGAAAGCTAGGGAAAGTCACGCTTAGTTTAAAGCAATGTCAAGAGGCCCGTTTGTAAGTTATGAAACTTTCTCTTCTATCTCTTTGGAAACAATGACAGATGTGTCCAAATAGAAGCGCTGGGGCTGCCTACCTGACCAACCGCCTGGGCCACACCCTGTTTAATCTCTCCGAATTCCCCGTGGAGCAGGACTTACTGGTGCCATCTGAAAAACCAAGGTGTGTTCAGAACTGTCCCTGGGTCTGGATCTTTTCTGTTGTCTTTGAATCACAGTCGCCCCTGAGTATAGGGGTGGGTTCAGGGACCCTCTAGGTATCTTCTGTAAGAGATGAAGACAGATACTACAGTGATCCATGTGGGTCCATCCATGCCATAGCTAGATCTTGGAAACAGCCTGTGTGTCCACCAACAGAGAGTGGATGAGGAAAGTGTGGTGTTTACACACAATGGAGCACTACTCTGCCATAAAGAGGGACAAACGAGGCGTCTGTGGGAAAATGGATGCAACATGACACCATAATGTTCAGTGAAATAAATCTGACCCAAAAGCTTAAACGTCATGTGGTTTCTCTTATATGAGAACCCCAAACTGTAAAAGAGCAAAATGAAAGATAATAGGAAGTAGGGAGATAGACCTTTCTCAAAGGGGAAGGGGACCAAGAGATGGAGGGAGTGAGGAGAGAAAGGGAATTAAGAAGGAATTAAGATGTGTTATGTACATGCACAACCCCACACAAGGGAGGCAAGCATTATGCCGGCAAACATGTTCTGCGTGGAATTTACATGCGACTTCCTGTGTACATCAGATCATCTCTAGATGGCTGTCATATCTAATACAATGGAAATGCGACATAAGTAGTCATTGCTCTGTGTTATTTAGAGAATGACAAAAAATAGTCTGGTATATACCCAGCTACAGTCTATTTATTCGTAATGTTTTCCATCCACACTTGGTTGGATCCACAGATACAAGGGCTGAGGATGCCATTGTTTCAAATGCTAATGGTCCTGCAAACTCAGAAGTTTGACACTCACTTTGGTGCTTGTCAAAGTCTTGGGGCCGTGTGTGCTGTGGCCCTAATCAGATTCCTCTCTGCGGACTTCCAGTCTTGAAGCCTTAGGGAATCTCTCAGTAGGATTCCGTCCGTGGCCATGGCAGGAACCCCGCAGCGATTTCACTGGTTTCAGGGCTGGGAGCAGATGCGGCAGCATAATGAAATAACGGCCTTTCTGGAATTTCTGCGCAGCTCCTGTCTTAAAATTCCTGCTAGGCAACTTCTGGGAAAGCTTTTGCTCCGTGCCTGTTTTCCTTCAGCGAGAAAGGGTGTACCCGTGCAAGGGGGTGAATTCTCTGTGCCTCGAATCTCAGTGACATTTGCCATACTGTCTCCAGCTCTCCGCATTTTACATGTTGCCTCCCACACACAGCACCCTGGGCTCTGTGGGAAACCTTGGATCCCCTGCCCAGGCCAGCATGCCCCTGGGTCACCGTCCCTCAGACACTGGCCTGGCTGTCCTCTGAGTGGTTTGCCTGCAGCTCTTTGCTGCCACCCCCTCGGACCCTGAACCCCACCCTGGAGTCTCTGGCTTCCTCCCTGACCCTGACTGTTGGCATTGTTTCAGAGCTAGGAAGTTGTGTGTGCAGAACTTGGAGATGCACCGGCTCTGGTGCATCTCAGTGGTCACCAGCTTGCTTGGAAATGCATGCTGCACAGTGTCATGGTTGGTCCTCGGCCCATGTCTGTTGAGGGAATGAATGAATGAATCCCTGGGTCTCAGTTTTTCCAGTGAGTGTGGGATTTGAGGCTCTTTTCAGTCTCTTTCTACCCAGAGCCTGGGAATTGCAGCTTCCTATGCACCTGATGGCTAGGGTCAGCTGTCTGGGGAAGCTTAAGAAGCACCAGGTATCACTGAGGTCACAGAGATAAAAGACAGCACTCACACCCAGGAGCAGGTCTCAGAGCTGCCTGGAGGACAAGCTGGCAAGTGCAGACCCAACCCATGCAGTGGCCGGTAGAAGGGACAGATGCAGGTGTGGGACAATTCCAGAGAGGAGGATCTCACCAGCCGCCTCTCATCCTATGGTGCCTCCCAGGCCCAGGAGCCTTGTAAGTGGGGAGAGAAGGGAGCAGAGGAGGGTAACAACTTAGGCCCCAGTAGTCCTGAGTGTGGGCTCCTAGGAGAATGACCCGAACTTCAGCTGAGACCTGGGTCACCAGCATGACCCCAGGTGACATGCATTTCCTAGCCAGGTGTTCATGCCAAGAAGCACATGCTCCAGTGTGACCAGCTCTGTCCAGTCTTTCCTAAGCAGTGCTTGTGCTGGGCACCTGCCTGGGGGCTGCCCGTGCCCCAGAGCGGGTGGAGAACTGTGTGGCCGCTCTGACCAGCATGATAGGCGCTTGTTCTCTGGGTAGCCATCGTGCATCCTGGCTGGAGCACTGACACCATGTTTACTGTCAACAGCCTCGGAGGTTGGTCGTTTGGAGTGCGGGCCCCCAGCGAAGTAGAAGATGTGAACACAAACACCTCACAACAAAGAACTCTGGCAAAGGTAACAGTATTCTTTACTTTTTCTCCCTGTTTTAGATGATATCCAGAGCAGCTAAACATCCAACTGTAAGCTGAGCGCAGTGGTACATGCCTGTAGTCTCAGCACTCTGGGAGGCTGAGGTAGGAGGAGCCCATTTGGGCATCTTAGTGAATATGCAAGACCCCGTCTCAAAAGAAAAAGCCCGAGATGTAGCTCAGTGTGAAGGCCTAGGGCTCTGTCTTCAGTAACAACAAAACAAAAACAAATCCAAATACATTTGGAGACCAGAGTTGAAGGGAGAGATTAAGCCCAGTGCTTGTCACTGAGCATTGTGGATGCTTGTACATAAACATTCCCTTGAAAGAGAAATATGAATTGTCTTCCTTTTGGTGGTTTAGAAATAGAACAAATAGATTACTGCTTCTTGTCAGAACAGGACTTCACCAGCAAGATCTACAGCTAGTGAGAAGACCATCTCTTGTTCAATACACCCATAGTTGCATTATGTAGAAGTGTCACTCTGTCCCTGGTGGCCAAGGACTTTTTTGTACATAAACTTGAGTTCATCTTAAAGGAGGCTGGGTGGACACAGCTGACACAAAGACAGTGGCAGTAACATGGGACAAGTCTTAGGGGCTCTGGCAGGACTGTCATGAATGAGGACATTCCTAATGGCATTGCGGAATGAGGCAGGTAGGGTGGGGCTTCAGGGATGCCAGAGGGGCGAATGACAAAGTTTCCCGAGGGAAGAAGTCCACACAACCATAAAAGACGGGGAAATGGAAGAATCCAAGTGCTCAGTTCTTGCCAGTGGGGAAACTGTGGCATTGCTGGGAGTACAAATTGGAAAGAAAGAGGCCAGTCTGGTGAGTGGGTGGATGTGAGGATAGCATAGGACGTCAGTGCGGAGTGACCCTCAGCCTTTCTTTGCTTAGCCTGTGGTGTTGGATCTGCTCTGAAGCTCACCACAGAGCCTGTGGCACAGGGCCTCTCCAGGGCCCCCAGGAGCCCTCCTGGCTCCTGGTTCTGGTGAGTGGATAGCTCAGCAGCACAAGGACAGGTGTGTGAGGAGGTTTACTCAGTGCATAAAGGTTCTCAGCGGGACCTCCGCCATATAATCCATGATGAAAACCTGCTTGGTTACACTGCACAGTTTACTCCCAGTAGAAAAGTCGAAGTCACAGCGCGGATGCTTAGAAATCCCTTCTTCAGCTGAGGTCCGCTCAGACTGCTCTTCCTTTCCAAGCAACAAGAAGACTTACAGCTCACTGTGAAACTATCATCATTTGAAAGTTGGTAGGAAAACCACCCAAGGTGTATTTGCTTTATATACTGGAGCATGCGCTCCATGATGAAGACAGACCTCACATACAGAAGTCACATGCTTTCCTTGAAGCACAGTTTGACTCTAATGCCGGCACACCCAGACCCTTCCTCCCTGCAGCAGATGCCTTTGCTCCGAGACATCCGCTGCCTGGGTTGGGCTCTTGTTTGGGAATGAGGTGGGACTGGCCTCAGTCACTCTTGCTTGTGTTTAGATTGTTCTGCACTGCACCAGATGTATCCAAGCAGCAGTTTCTGGAGTTTTCCCTGGTGTCTGGTGTGTTTTTTGCCAGACACAGGCCAGCGAATGAGGTGCACGTGGCCCTGTGGGTTCTCCCTAGGGTCCTGAGGAACCCGATACAGTGAGGTATGAGGGCAGTCCGCGCTCTGACCCCATGCCCCAGATGATTGCAGTAACCTCTCAGTAATGAATGACCCGTGGTCCTTTCTGCCTGCAGGCCACATTCGCATGAAATTGTGCTACAATTTCCATAGTCCTTTTGCAGGAAAAAACAGGAAATTTGCACATGAATATGCATAACATATGATTCATTATACTGTAAAATGTCTCTTGTGCAACCTTTCCTTGAATTATTTTACTCACATCTTGAGTGTTTAGCTTATTTAATCAAAACACCCTTTAGAGTGTGTATACTTCGCCTGAAACGTCCAGTCATACTCTAAACACACTCGGAACACACTCGAGACACACCCCCAGACATTGTGTTCCCTGGAATTTCACCCCGAGGAATAGCCCTGAAGTGGTTTCCTCTCTGGCTGCTACATAGGTATTTTCCTGCCAGCCATTAATCCTGACTCCTGAGAGGAAAGGTGTGTTTCCAGCTGGCACAGTGTGGTCCTAAAAGGAGATGAAATTCCTATTTCACGTATTGGCCTTTATCACTTCCTGACTTGTGGGCCATCAGGGGAAGAAATCCTATGACTTCTCTTCAGAACACAGTGCAGTTTTAGAAAACTGGTCTTTGGAGGAAAAAGCAAAGCCCTTCCTCTGAATGAGGTGAAATCCTAAATGCTAATTTTCAGATCATCATAAAGCATGCACCGCTTACTTAAGTGCTTTATAGAGCCATTCTTGGATAAAGACTGATTTACAGAAGAGTGGAAAGCAGGCTGAAGGACCTTTTAAACTGTTTTCCTTGAACCTTTGAGCTAATCATGTGCTGCCCACACAGTAATGTGGAGCAAACAGGGTCACCAGGAATGCAACAGTGCGTGTGCCTTTAGCTCTCAGTGCAGTCAGGTTGCTGTGGGCTGAGCTAACCGTGGTCCCTGCTGCCTGTCACTTAAATGCTCCACAGCGGGGGCCTGGTTCTGCCCCCCCGACAATGCTGCTGGCTCATCACCCGCAAAGTCCCTTGACTCCACTCCCTGCCATGTGCTTCCTGGCCTGTGAACTTCCACGGGTACATGTGAGGAAGGTGTTCTCAGCTTGCCCACAGGAAGCCAGGCTCTGTGTACCTTCTGCCCTGAGCCCAGCCAATCCTGGTTTCTTGGTAGGGTTCCCTACGGAGCATTTGAGCTGTTTCTGTAACTCAGGTTCACAAGCCACATTCATGGTGCTTGTGTGCTCTCCGTAATGTTAAACACCGGGATTTGGGGGTGTGAGGGTAGCAGGGAGCACCGCCCCTTAAGCTCTGTTCCCTTTTGAGCCCCAGAACATCCCTTAACACCGTCATTCTTTCAGTGAAGGTTCTCAGAGCCACACCCTGCAGCTTGTTCTGAAGATTGCTTGACATTTTGCCTAGAAATCTCCCACTCAGGTTTATCGGGCACAAGTTCTACCTTTAAAGTTGAAAGTTTTACCAACTATTTTAGTTCTGTATCGTATGGATCACCAAGTTATCAGTTACCTGTGGCAGATTTCTGACATTTTTTCCCCAGCATTCCTACAGGTTTTATCAACTACTTCTAGATTCACCAGTATCTTTACATCACCTGCTTGCTGATCTTAAGTAACACACCCTCTCAGTGCTCTTACTGTATCAGTTGTGTCTTGCCACAGTATTGTTAGGTAACAGTAATTATAGACCTTAGAGGCCTCAACAATACAGTATGTATAGCTTAGGAGTCTTCAAGGTTCTGCCACAATAGGCCAGCCTTGGCTTCCTGAGTGGCTAGGGTTTGTGGAGATACAGGATGAAGTGAAGATTTTACTATTCACAGGTCCAGAGGGCTGTAGTGCATGTCCAGAGGTCACATGCAGAGGTCAAGGTGGAGAGAGGTGGGGGGGATTAGAAGAAGGAGAAAGAGGAGGAGGAGGAAGGGGAGAGGGCAGGGGAGCAGGAGGACAGGATGGGCCAATGCAATGGGCAAATTTCCTACAGGGAGATTTCACTGGTGGCTTTAAACTAAGAAGCACAAGTTTCAGCAGGTCACACTGAGGCTGCCATCCTGTGCGTCTGCACTGTCCTTGTGGGGGGTGCGGGCCAGTCATATAGGCTGCATCTCCCCAGCTTGTCCCATAGGAGGAGGTCTCCCAGCGAAAGTTGTGAAAGGCAGACACTTGGACCAACCAAGCAGAGGACCTGGGAGGAGGGGAGGACCTGGAGCTGTGTCAGGTGGGCTGAGCCTTGCTCTGCTCAGATAGGCACTTGTTAAACCTCCGCCAGCCTCATATACCATGGGTTCCCTGGCCAGAGTGGGACCCACAGCACAGCTCTGCTCCGACTGGAGCTCGTGAAGTCACCTGCAGAGGGCACGGGTGCATGGCAAGGACCTGGGGACAGGGACCGGTGGGAGGGCAGCTCCTGTCTCCCCAGCAGCATCCCCAGCAGCTCTTTCCTCTGTGCCACACTCCTGTGTCACTGTAAGTTGAAGTCATCCTGCTTTTGAAACAAAGATTCAAGCAAGCAAGCGAAGCAGAACAAAACCAAATTTAACACTTCTAATCCCCTGGCAAAGGCTACTACTTTCTATGATTTTTTTTCCCTTCCAGATAAATGTATAAGAAAAGCAGGCTGGGAGTGGAGGTGCATGCTTGTAATCTGAGTACTTGGGAGGCTGAGGGGGGATCCTGAGTTTAAGGCCAGCCTGGGCTACATAGTGAGACTGTTTCTTTTTTAAAAAAATCACTCTTAGAGATGGGGGAAGAAGGGGAAGTGAAAAGAATTAAGATGGCTGTGTACACATATGAACTCCCCATGATGAATGTAATCCTTTTGTACTGTAAGGAAATTCTAAGAAAACTAAAAACCAAAGTAGAGCATCTCACGTGGGCTCAAGAGTTTTCTAAATTAGCCGGTCCCTCTGGTCCCTAGTCTTGAACAGGATTTGGTCTGGGTGGTTTTGGGAAATCAAGTCCCTGTGTGGGTGTGTCCGAGGGTACAATGTGAGGCTATGGCCTGGAGGGGCCTCGGCCTCTGCCTCCACCTCAGGAAGCAGCCAGGCCTGCTCCTGACTGGTCTGAGCATGCTCCGTTCAGGGACCTGGGTTTCAGCTGCTTGAGACTGGCTGCTGTCTCTGGGGCGCAGGGCTCCCCAGGCCAACTCTGCAGGTGCAGTCTTGAACTTTCAGGCACATCTCAAACTTCCTTCCTTCTCCTGGGAGCCTAAAGGAGGATTGGCCAGGGCCACCCTGTGCAGTTAGAATACTCCAGAGGGTATCAGAGGTGTGGAAGGCTGGGGTCTGTCTTCCAGCCCAGAAGGAAGTGGAGCAGGTTCTGTTTTGGTTTTTAAAGCACTGAGCATATTTTATTTCTCAGCCATCCCAGGGACATAATAGTTGCTGCAGCCGGGTCCCAGGTGAAGAACGCTGATCACAGCAGGATGTGGAGACACTGGGGATGTCAGGTCTGGTCCAGCTCTCACTTTGCACAAACTTTGGAGAGAACCTGAAGCTGGTGTGCTTTCCGGGGCAGCATTAACCTGCAGGTGGATGGTCTCTTGCAAAAGACAGCATTGAGCAGGGAAGTGAGAGCTTCAGTGGACTGAATGAAGACCTCTACTCTGGATGATGCTCTGTGTTTCTTGGGGACACTTGCCAGCTCCCAGACGGAACATTTGTTTTTCTTTAAAACACGGATATCCCCAGGGTAGACAGTGATGGTTTGATCTGGACTTGAATAACACTGTGCTCTCCGATTCCTCCTTCACCTTTGTCCTCACTGACAGCATGCAGCTCTGTCCTCCACACTCAGCAGATGTTGGGTTCGCTCTATTTGGAGAAATAATGTTCTGCGTTCAGTTATTAATTTGAAAGTAATCTCTTTTTTTTCTGATCATCTTCCTCGCTTTTAATTTGCAGGTCAAATTTCATTAGCTTACCAACTGAGAAAGAAAAAAAGATGACAGGCTTCGGTTCCCTTTTCCCTCTGAGACCATAATTATAGAGCGACATTCATATTTGTTCTGGGGAAAAATTAATCTATTTTTAGCTGGAAATTATATGCTTGAGATAAATATGGAATTAGCAGACTGGAGCTGCTTGCTCGGTGTTGGCCAGGCGGGAACTGTAGCTGAGCCGTTCTCAGGTGCAGCTGACACTCATTGACACGAGTCCCCGCCCTGCAAGAGGCTGAAGAACTCACTTCTCCAGCAAAGCGCCATTAAATTGCCTCTGTTTTTTAGGTGTGGTATAATCAGAAGAGCTTTCACTCCCTGCCTTCCTACTTAAATCATCTGAACAATCTCATTTTGTGGAGACACTTGCCCCCTGCTCTGGACTGGAGACAGTACGGTAAGGTCATTTTTCATGAGTTAGACTTGGCTGCTTTCTAAAGAGCTGTATTTTTAGAATGACAGAAGCAGAAATGAATTTGGAGTAGGAAAGTGAAGCACAAAGGGGAGATTTCTGCCTGGAGCTGATCTGTGGGTAAAGTTGCATGAGACTGTGGGTGCTTCCTGCCTCTGCTTCCCAACGGACATCTGACTTCCTGCAGACCATGGCCTCAGCCCTCAAGGAGAGGAGCAAAAGGCACACGAGCCTTTATGCAGCAGCTATTAAACATCTTACAGAAGCAGAAGCAAATTCCCATGTGAAGGACATTTGTGTGGAATGCTGCAAAGGAGAACACAAATCACAAATAATACTGTGATTTGATTTTTGCAGGGCCCTCAGCCCATCTGTGTTGATCATTGCTTGGTAACTGAAGCTTTCTTATTTCACTGAATGACACAGGTCCATTTCTGCAATGCAGGGTTAATTTATTGGTTCAAGGGAAGCTTTATTTGCTTTACTTGCGTGAATGTTATCATTTTTCAAGCTAATTCAGTTTTTTAAAAAAAGAATCAGGAAATATTAGCAACAATAGGCCATATCCATTATCATTTATCCACAAAATATGTTTATTGAAGTATTCATTTGCATAGAAATCAATGCTGAATACAGTGGTACCTCGGTTCACAAACTTTTCTTTCCATGATTCTGGTTACAAACTCAGCTGGATGAGAATGGCCTCAGATTTCCCCAAAAGGTCAACATTGAACTGAACCACTGAATTTAATTCAGTTCTTGTCCAATTTGGCTTGTGACCAGAATGGTGGAAAGAATTAAGTTCATGAACCGAGGTCCCGCTGCATCCCTCTACCATGCTTTCGCTTCACTCTAATGCTACTTCACTTTTCCATATTTGCTTTTTCTTCCCTAACAATTTTTCTTTTCAGTGCTGGGGACTTGAACCCCGAGCCCCACACATGCTAGGCAAGAGCTTTATCACTGGCGTATTTATTACCAGTTCTTAAAATACATGGATTTTGTGGCACTGTAATAATTTCATAATGACAGGAATATAAAACGTTTAAGATGTGTGTGACTAAGCAAAGCCCAAAGATGTATAAAGTCGTCCAGAGGAGGGAGCGTGTGAGAGATCCAAAGCATACCATGGGCTCCATTAGCTGCTGCCTATCCACCGTCACGTTTAATGTCCCCATCAGGCTGAGGGTGGTCATGTCTGCCCACCTTGCCGTCGAGAAAGCAGATGTTCTGAGAAAGCAGCAGCTGTGGGCCCCAGCAAGTTAGTAATGGGGCCCTGACCAGATTCTAAGTCTGGCGAAGAGGAGCCCTAGCTTTGCTGCTGCATGGCAGAGAGCTAGCTCCTTTCCCGGGACACACTGGCCTCGGGCCTGCAGCAGGGGCGGATATGTACTTTCTGAGGCTGTGCTTGGGCTTCAGCATTGCATGGCAGGATCTAGCCTCCCATTAAGCACGCTCTCCACTGCTGTGCCTCGCCCCCCTCCTGGGCTCCGAGGAGGAATCAGTGCATGTTCAGACAGGGAGGGGTCCAGGCTGACTGCATCAGAGTCCAGGACAGGGAAATAATTGCTGATCTCCCTGGAAAGACTGGTCGAGGTCGAATTCTGCGGGTGAGAAGTGTGGACTTAACTGTTGCGGGACAGACTCTCCAGATACTGGGGGGTGCAATTGATGGGGTCACGGTATGAGTTAGAAAGGATGGAAGGGGAGGGCTGGGACAAGTAGAGGCCCACCGAAGGATGGTGACCCAGGCCAGGCCAGGTGAGACGGCAGAGAATCAAAGTGGGGCAGGCGGAGGGAAGGTCATGGTGCTGGGGAGGAGAACGAGAGAGGGTATAAGAACCGGAAATACCACTCCTGCTTTCTGTGTTAAATGACTTCCTGTTCAGTCCCCGCAGCCTCATTGCAATGTTGAGAGCAAGAACTATTTTCTAGGAAGGGGACAGGTGGCCTGCACAGGGTCAGAGATGGCGGTGCTATCCCCAACAGAAGCGATAATGAGTTCAGGGCGCTGGGGAGAAAGTCAGCAGCATGGGGGCCACTGCACCCTCACCCCGAGGACCCATGCTGCTAAAGGTGCCAGTGAGGCCCCACAGAGGGTGGGCAGAGAGCCGGGTGTGGCCCCAGGTGGGGAGGTCTCGGCCCAGAGGCAGGAAGGGGCAGAAGACTCCAGAGTCATCAGGAGAGTGAGTGCAGGACTTGGCTGGATCCTGCGGGCAAATGTGATGGTGATGAGAATGGAAGTCAGAAGAGAAGGAACGAAGAAGCTGCATGTGTGTGTGTGTGTGTGTGTGTGTGTGTGTGTGTGTGTGTGTGTGTGCTCATGAGTGTTTGTGCATGCATGCGAAATAAGGAATAATGCAAAGTTTCAGCAGGCTGAGGAGATGAAGAGGTATGCTTATGTAAAATAAACTGGATATAGTGGTACAAGCCTGTGATTCTAGCTCTGTGGGAGGCTGAGGCAGGAGAATCACAAGTTCAAGCCCAGCCAGGTCAAGTTAGCAATTCAGTGAGACTCCCACCCTCTCAAAGAAAAACCCCAAAACCAAAAAACAAAATAAAAAATAGAGAAAACCCTCAAAAAGGGTTGGGATATAGTGAAGGTCCCAGGTTCAGACCCCAGGACCATGAAAGAAAAAAAGCATTTACTAAAGGTGTGGGCTTTTCATTTGTTTGTTGAAGGGTTGTGCTGACTTGAAAAATGCATACATATATCATTGGTCATGAGATAATTCTTTAAAGGTACATTACTTGTCTTTTTGAAACTTCTGGTTGTAGCTTGACTTATTCATGCAGTTAGCACGGGAAGAGAAGGACTGGGCAGTGTGCGGGGAAGGCTGTGTCAGGAGTTACTACCAGAGAGATGACTGAAACTGCCGCTCAGAACTCTCCCAGGCCCAGGGGAGGGAACACGGAGGTGTGGGGCAGAGGCCCGTGCCGCCTTGGTGTCCGAGTCCCCGTCGCTTCTGCTGCCTCCCTTCCGGAAGGAAGCACATTTGTGGGGACTCAGATCCACTTACATCGATTCAGTCCTGAAATACCATCAAGATGTTGACATTTGCTGCCAAAGTGTTGTAAAACGTGACAACGGAACTCGCTCCGGCACGCAGGACTCTCCATGCCTCGCTATGGCCTGGGCTTCCTGAGGGAAGGGCTGTTGAGGCCAAGATGTCCCTTCAGCTTCCTCCTTTGTGGCCCTTCTTGTCTGCCCTGGCCATGGCCAGGCCTTCATGCACCCCGACGTGTTCCTCATGCCTTGGCTCAGGCTGCACCTGTCCTTTTTGCACCCTAAGGGTTTCTGCTCAACTGTTTGTTTGTTTGTTTTTCCCCAGTAGTGGGGATCAAACCCAGGTCTTTTGCTATATCACCCACTTTTTTTCCTTTAAGTTTTAATTTTGAGACAGGGTCTTATTAAGTCACTAAATTGCTCGGGCTGGGCTTGAATTTGTGATCCTCTTGTTTCAGCCTCCCAGAGTGCTGGGGTTACAAACCTGTACCATTAGGCCTGGCTCCTTCTCGACCTCCAAGGCCCAACTCAGGTTTCTTGTAAATCCATCAGGATCTTTAACACTGTTGCAAAATGAGTTAAAGGCTTCATCTCTCTTTTCCCAGTCAATAGCTTCTAAAGCTCATCCACACATGCATTTCCAAGAAGTATTCATGTATTATAATGTATTTTCAAGAGACCTTGTTAGCTCATTACAACACCCAGTACTTTTCATTGCCATTATAGGTTTGCACCTCTTATCTTTGGTAATAAGAATGCAAAATCCTCACAGAAGGTGTTTCTGTTACGGATGTTTGTGTTTTTCTAAAGTCTTTATCCATAAGAGGATTTCAGTAAATGTTTATTTAAATAATTGATCCTTGGCACCATTATTTTTACTATGTCTACATTCTATAAAAAAGATAAATTCTATAAAAAAGTGGCAAAGTGTGTTGCTTTTATCATTATGGCTTTCTGAGTTGGCATATGCTTATTGGATTAAAATTAAGTGGAGTTATAGAAGAATGAACATGAGAGGAAATTTGTTTTAGTAAAATGAAAGGAATAAATCAAAAGAAAAGTCACACAGATTAGTCCCCACGTAGGTAAGAGGAAGAGGCAATTGGCACAGGGGGACAGGCACTGGCTCTCACCGCACTGCGTGAGGTGGTGGTGCTGATGGGGATGACAGTACCCGGCCTTGGAATTCAGCTTCTTTACCGTCGTACTGAGCCCAGGGATTCTGCCAACAAATGCTGCCATTGGAGAGGACTGAACTCTGGCCGTGCCACAGGGAGACCCCTACACCGTGGTCCAGCCAGCCGCATGCTGAGTTCACCTGGGAGTTTGAAAAAGACCGATTTCTGTCACAAACCCAGAGACTTGGTTCTGACTGAGCTGAGCAGCTTGAGAGGTGGGTGTTTCCGATGTCCCAGGTGCTGCCGAACTGAGAGACATCAGCTGATTGACATGCTGATCATCGAGCAGGGAAACAGATAAAGAGAGCAGATAGGGGCCAGGCACCCGCAGTCCCCTCGGTAGGGCTGGGGACATGGCAGACAGCAGCTGGTTCCTGAGACTAGGGAGGGCCAGCCGCATTCAGAAGCGGAAGAAGCTCTTCTGTTCCTTTAATGTCTCATTAACCACTGACACAAAATGACTATCTACATTTATGAGATTGTGATGCTGTGACTCTTGCATACATTGTGTGATGATCAAATATTTATATTCATCTCATGGAATATTTATTACCTCACTCATTACAAAGCCTCTCTTCTAGATATTTTGGGATACGCGATGCAGAATTACTGACTGTAGTCACCCTATGGTGCTATAGACCACCAGAAACTATTCCACTCTCTGTAACTGTGACCACTAACCCTGAAATGTCAATTTCACTGGATGAAGAAACACGTAGCATAACATAAAGGTAACAAATAATAAAAAAAAGAAACACCTAGCATATTGGTAGAGCAGGCTCCTTGGTGTGTCTTGGTGG